ACTAAAAATGTAGTATTTATAATGTAGAATTCAAATAGTTTAAAATCTAGCATTCACTCATTCCTTGTTTTTTTTTAAATGATTAATTTTTATATTAATGTTTGGATTAAATAATTTTTGTAAATTTAATGCATGTTTTATAGAAATATCTTGATGAAACGTAATATCTTTAGTATATTTATAAATTTAAGAATTTTTTATGTTTTATTCATTTCCTTTTTTTAGAATATTTATTTTTGTCATATGATATACTTTTTACTTTTACTTTTGTATATTATTTTTATATCTAAACATTTGAAAATTTTTAAAAATTAGTTGTCTAATATAATAATTTTGTTTATTAAACTTATATATCTTTTTGCTTTTTGTTTTTTTTTTGTCTTAAATATGTTGAAAAAATTATAACTATAGAAAAAGCTTTTAAATTTTTGAAAAATATGAAAAAAAAATTAGTACACTATTTAAAGTACCTAAAGAACTAAATTATAGGGAGATCAAAATATTTGGCACTTAATAGAAAAATAATACTATAAAATTTTATGTAATAAAAGCCGATGGAAAATCATTATTTTTTATTATTATATTATTTTTAGTAAATTCTTTAGCAGTCCCTAATTGAGTTCATTTTGTGTTTTAATATTTTCTTTTTTAATTGTTATAAAATTTTATTCGGTTCTATATTAAATATTTTATGAACATGCAAAATTTTAGTTTGTGTATGATCCAAATAAAAAAAATAAAACAAAAGTATGAATAACATTATATAAATTTCTACTATTTTTTCAAGTTTGTTTGCTCTATATATATATATATAAACTATACAGAAATATTAAAAATAGTTTACAAGTAAAAATTATAAATTTATTATTAACAAAAAAAATTGATTACATTTTAAATGTTTCATTATTTATTACAAAAATTATTTAATATACAAAAAAAAATATAACATTAAAATTCTCATTACTTGAAAAATAAAAAAAAAAATTAAAATACAAGTGAAAAACTGATAAACTAAACAGTTACTACAAAAAAATTATAATTATATCACAGAGATTAATTTTTGTTTAAGTTGAGATTAGTGTTTTTAAGTTAATTGTAATAATAATTATTTTGAAAATGAGTGAAAATTTTTAAAACTAAACGATAATACTTCAATGAATATTCGAGATATATAAAAAGTATTTGTTAATATATTAACAAATTATAGAAAAAATTTGCTAATATAATATTTGTATTGTATAATACAAATATTATATTAGCAAATATAACATATTATTTCTTATGCTATTTTGTTAATAATAACATAAGCAGTGAATAGTATATATAAGTATTTCCCCAAAATATCATCAATCTGACGATTATGTCAATTACGTCAATCACTTTCATTTGCAAATGACAGTCATATGTAAATAAAGCAACTCGTGTCAGTTGATGTTTTGTAATTTATAATTAAAAATCTCTTGTTACTTCCCTGTTTTCGTTTTCTACGTCAAAATTAGTAATTTTTAACGTTTACAAAAGTCATACAAAACTTTTAAAAAATGACAACTTGCGTTAGCAACAACGCTATTCTTGATGCGAGCTAGTATTGGAAAGTATGATTTTTGCAAATTTTGTGCAAATGACGTTCTAGGAAAGTATGCCTACTTTTCATATTATATAACAGCAATAAAAATTTTAAATATTTTTTTTTAGAAAAAAACTGTTCTCCAACAGTATTTCTATGTATATAAAATTACTAATATTTTCAACAATATTTTTATTAATGAATAAAATTCATTAATATTTTTATTAATTAATTATTGAAATGAAATATCGAAATATATTAATTTTAATTATATTGATAATTTTTATAAATTCATTATTGTTCTAATTGATTTCGATTTTTTCATTATATATATGTATATACAATAAATTGAAGTATTATCTTAATATATGATTGATATATTAATAAGAGATAAAGAGAAATTTTGTTAAAATTATTATTAAAATTAAAAATCTATTAGAATTTATTCATCATAATTATTAAATTAATAGTTTATTATTTCATTTTGAATTATGCAATAAATTGTAATTTTAATTTAATATGCATATTTATTTATATATATATATATGTATATATATATATATATATATATATATTTATATATATTATATATATAATAAATATATATTATATATTTATTTATTTATAATGTATATAATATTTAGGTGGGAATTCTTTTCATGTTCTATACATATACATATATATAGGAAGACTTCTATTTGAAAGTAGATTTTTATTTTTATTTTTTTTATTAATAATGTAATTATGTATTAAATTTTTTTGTTTTTCTATCTGATTTATTTTTAATCTTATATATAATATAGATGTCTTTTTAGGTATTTATATAATATTATAATACCTGGCATTAGAATGATTTTGAAATATTTACAAGATAAATACGAGTTTTAATTTAATTTTTATGTTATTTCTTATGTTTTTGTTTGTTAAATTTGAAAATTTTAATTTTAAGATAGCATTCATATAGTATCACTTATTAATTTCTATATTTTTGAATATTTCAGATTCAATTTAGACCTTGCCATGTATGATAAAGATTTTAAATTTTTGTTTCAAATGTAAGTTTTTTTGTTTGTTTTTTTTTTTTTTAAATAAAATTATTTTAGTTTTTTTTTAAATATTTACTAGATTTTTTTTTGTTTATAAGACCTTATAATTATGTATTGTATATATTGATTAATAATATAATATAAATAAGGAAATATACGTAAATATATATATATATATATATATACGTATATTTCCTTATATATATATATATATATATATATATATATATATATATAAGTATATAGTGTATGTTTATTTAAGTAAAATGAATACATCAAATTATATTATATATGTATGTATATATAAATATTATAATATATAAGTATCTAAATATACGTAAAATTATACCGTTATATAAATAAGACTTAAAATTATAATTAAAATTTCAAATCTTAAATTCGCTGTATAGTAATTATTTATTATTTAATATAATATCATTTATATATAGTTTATAGTTTTATACATAATACAATTTTTGTTATTGCACAATGGAAGTACATTTTTTGAGTGGCGCTGTTTGGAATTTAAAAATTTGATATTAATTAGCACCCATCAAAATAATAGTTCATTGTGTAATTACAAAAATTGTATCCTGTATAGCACTATAAACTATATACTCAATGAAAGTATGTATTAGTAATAACCATAATGTATGTACACATAGACAAATGCAATATATTATATTAATTATAATAATTTACAATTAATACTATAATTAATTATAGTATTAATTATAACATATTTAAACTTTTTTTCTTTCATCTTCCTTATTTAGGTATGATTATTAAATATCAATATCTTTTACATTTACTTTTTTTATATAATTTTATTGTTTGTTTCAATTATTTTATATATTCTTTTTTTAGTATTTATTAAAATTATTTTTAATATTTATTAAAATTAATTGAATTACTTTTTGTTGTTGTGATTTTGTATTAAAAAAAAACTTTTTACTTGACAATCCAAATTTAATTAAAAAATTAAAATAATCAATATATGAACACGTAATACATATAATATAATTAATTTAAAAATGCAGTTTTAAAACTTATTTTATAAATAAAACAAAAAATAAATTAAAATTAAGAAAATAAAAAAAAATACCAAGAAAATCAATCTCAATGAAATTAACTTTAAATATAAAATATAATATCGTAATTTATATAAGTATAAATTAAAAAAACTAAAAATAGGTACTAATACTTGTATATTTAATACATAAGAAGAAGGAAATAAACTGAATAAAATAAAATTATAATTATAATAGTAAAAAAAAAATAATTTAAATATTTAAATATTCTTTACGGTGATTTAAGTAATAAAAAAAGTTTATTTAAAAAAAAATTAATTAATTTATTTGATTTATTTGAATTTATTTATTTATATATATATATATAAAATTTACTATAATTTTGATTTGCTTTTTTTAATTACAATTACACACGAAATATTCAATTTAAATGTTAAATTCAATAATTATACTTTAATATACAAAAAAGAAGAAATAAAAAAATAATATATATATATTTATATGTATACTTATAATAATGTTTACACAGTTGCATATTGTATGCACTTAAAAGTAAATTTTGTTGAAATTGAAACCTTAAAAAATTTAATAATGGGTTCTAGTAAATTTTCAACGAAAAATCGTTGTATAATTACTAGAATCCAAATATTAAAAAAAAATAAAAAATTAAATTGTTTATAAAATTATTTAATCTAGGCATTGTTTGAATTTAATTATTTTTCTATAATTACTTATGTTTTGAAAATTCGTTTGGAATTAAATGAAATTAATTTTAATGTAATCTTGAAAAAATAACAAAATTTATTTATTTATTTTAATAATATTCTCCAAAAATAAATTTACCTTCTTATATTTCATTTTATTTAATAAAGTATAAGAGCGTTCTTAAGAAAATTAATAGACTAATTCATTCTTTCATAGCTAAAAAAGCAGTTTCAAATTTGAATCAATTTAATTAAAAACCAATAGAATTATTCTTTGTAGAATATTAATTGCACATATTAATTTTTAATGCAACTGTGCAAATCTATTTTAATTAAAAAAAATAATTTCAAAAATTATGATAGATAATTTAAAGCAGCTTAATAATTTAAAAAATTAATTGAAAAAAAAAATTGTTGTTTAAAAATAAATTCAATTTTGCTGAATCTTTAAAAAGAAAAAAATAAAAAATTTAATTTTTATTTAATATTTATTTAAAAGTGAAGAATTTTGTGATTTTTAAATAGAAAAGTATTATTTTATTAAAAAAAAATAATTAAGATTAAATTAAAAGAGAAATAAATAATAATCTTCGTAACAAATTTTATCATAATTATTAATATTTTTTTTGATTATTTGACAGTTTATTTATACCGGAGTTTTTGGTAATTTTCGTCTAGTTGGTGACGACGGTGATTTATCGGGTACTTCTGGTTCTGTAAATATAAAAATAAAAATAGAACAAATGCAAAAGTAAACAGAAAAAAAAAAGATAAATATGAAAATTACCTAATAAATTGTTTTAAATATTTTAAATATTAAGTTTTTTAAATAATATTGTGAATAAATTAAAAAATAATAATAATTTCAAAATAAAATATTGAAACAAAAACTAATTTTTTAATTTTTCTAAGTCTTAAGCTATCAAAATATATTTTAAAAGTAATTATTTAGTTTAACTTTTATAATATAAAACTTACCTGCTTGTAAACCCAGTTGTACTGGACCATCACCAGATTTTCTTGCACCCGGTTGATGACCCGTACCACTTGCTCCAGGTGGTAAATTTTCATCCAATAAATCACACATACGAAAATCAGTTGCATGTTCAACTAATAATTCAACAATATCACCCGTACGATCCATTATTGAGCAAACTTCTTCAAAACTACGATCAATCAATGATACACCATTCCACTCTAGAATCTATTAATTGTATAGATAAATAAAAATAAAATTAATTGTTAATAGAATGATCGGTCATCGAACAATAACCGATGAAAATATTTGTAAAAATAGATTTTTATTTTTTTTTGGATATTGTAATTTAATAAAGTATAGTAAGTCAATAATATTATTAAGGAACAAATATACGAGTAATTAAAACAATTATAATTATACAAAAATCCTTTCAGAAGATTACTTTCTGCAAAGAGCCAAATTTGCTTGTTTCTATAGGTAAAGACTATACTTTACTTTTTTTCATAAAATTTGAAATAAATCTTTAAAGGTCATTTACAAAATCTTATGCAACACTTTAACGATGCAGTTGGTTATATGGCGCCCACTTCAGATTTTTTTATTGTTTTTTATCATAAAATATAAAAATAAATTTATGAGGGAGAAAAAAGTTGAAATTAAACTTTTCGCCTTAACACAGTTAATATTTTTTTTTTAAGTTTTTGGGTTTTTTTCTCTATTTCGCGTAACAAATATACATAAATATTTTATAAAAATTTTTCTATTGTTTACTTGAAGTAAACTTTTTTTCTTGTATTCTTGAAATTTTCTTTGGTAATGGTTTTACTTTTTAACTTTTCTTACAATATCAGTCAACAAATTATATGACAAAAGATTCATGAAAAAAAATATTTATACTTTTAATATTGGGCCGATAAAATTTTCAACAGGGTCGAAGAATATTAATACGACATGAGAATGGAACAATGAATAAAATAAAATTTTAAATAAGGATTTTTTTGAGTTTGAGCAAACTTTTTCATGTTAAGTAATTTTTTTGCTCAGTGTATACATAATGTGGAGTATTATTGTTACTTGAGTAAAATAGTAGTCACGAAATTTTACATATTTAATTTTATTGATTCGATTACATATTTGATTTTATGTGATTTAGATGTGAAGGGATCTGTATTATCACCTTAATGTCTTACAATACATATTGTGTTTTTGAGGTTTGAATAATAAAAATTTTGTACTTTTGTTATAGTCTATAGTATACCTCACTATTATAAAAAAAGAAAATTTTTTTTATATGAAAAAGAAGAATTTATTTTGCACATTCACAGATTTTCCCACCCACTTGCTAAATATAGAATGAATGGTGGTGTATTATGTTAGGCACTTGTATTAACCACCTTCAACTAAAATATCCTGGTCACCATTATATAAATAAATGGAAAAGAAAAATATCAGCCATAACAAATTGTTTTCAAGTTATAACATTTAAATAATTATTTATTACTGCTTCTGCTCTGCGTATAATAATAAAAAAAATTTTTAAAAATGAATATTTAAAATAAAAAACAAAATGGTGATGAAAATACGAAGTTCAAATGCTTGTTTTTTTATTTTTTTCTCTGTCTTTTTGTATATTTTTTTCATTTTCTATCCCAAAATACCCATTTTTAGAAATTACCTTAGAGCAAATATACATAAACCAAAAAACAAATCACACAAAAAGATAAACTTTAAAAGTTGTTTAATAACAAAAAAAAAGAACAATAAAAAATAATAAAAATTAAAATACGAATAGCTGAATAGAACACGTAAATAAAACATTGGAAAACTCAAAAAAAAGTCTGAAAATTTTTAACAAAAGAAAAAGGAAACAAAATTTTTCCGTAGTGTTCTTCTTACTTATTTTCGTGAATTTTTTTTTTATTTTTTAATTCATATTTATTTTAGCATTGTTTTTAAAGTTTTAATATTTGCACGTCTTTTCGCATTTGTCTTATATTTTTAGCATTTTTGCAAAGAAATTTTGAAAATAAGTGTTTATTAATTTCACTCTGTCCGTTAGTGGAGATATTTACAAGATTTGAACACTTCTATAAGTTGAAATTTTATGTGAACATAGATCTAGAAAAATTTTCTTCTATAGAAACATATTTCTATAGAAGAGTATTTTTACATGTCTCCCCCTCTAAAACCTATAGCCTTCCAAAGCTCTAAAAAGAAGCCATTGCTTGACTATTTATTTTATCGAAACCAATTATTAAATTCTACAAACGCAGAAATTAAGCGTTCAGCTAGCTATCCCAAACCGCGCTACAGCTTTGTTGACCTTTAAAAAAACAAAATAGCCATTAATATAAATCGTTATTTAAAATCCATTTCTTTTTTTCAAATTTTTGATATCGCTTTTCTTCTAGACCTCAGGTTGTAGTAGTTTGCAATTAGTAGCTTTTAGTCACTAATAAATAATTCATTTCGTTTTTGCTCTTCCATTCCCTCCCAAATTTTCGTCTCTTGAAATTTGTAAAATTTGAATTAACAACTTATATTTCCGAAACTGAAAGTTTTTCAAAATTTTTAGAAATACAAAAAGCTCAAGGTAAATGATTAACTGACGCGATTAATTCTTAAATTTGAGCTTTATGTTAACGACTCTTTTGATTTTTTTTTGTTTTGTTTTAAAATTGTATACATCGCTTTTCCTAAATGTATGCAATCTTTGAAATATTTTGGTATATGAATTAGAGTACACAATTTAAATAAATGTATGTAATTGATTTTTTTTTAAAGCAGTACCTTTTGAATGAAAAATACTAAATTAAAAACCAGTGGTTTTACCCAACTTTATTTAAATTAATACGAGTATTTACTATTTTTCGTTTAGGCTTAGGTGAAAAAATATTTTTAAGATTTTTTATAACATTTTTCTTAGAAATTATATAAGTAGAAAATACAGACATATATGTATGTAAATAAATGATGCTTTAGAACAAATACGTAAAATTGCGAATATTTTAAAAATTAGCTATTAAATAAATTAAGTTTTTCCTCCACTTCTAGGTATAAATTCTTTTAGGTATTTGTTTTATAAAGACACATGAAAATCATATACATTAAAAATTCTTAAAGAAGTTTTAGGAAAATTAAATTTTGGAAACAAAATGTTGGACAAAATTCATTTTATTTTTAAATTATTAAAAAAAATTTTTAATTTAAAACATTTGAAGTAATTTTATTTGTAATTTTCCATTTGTTTCATTCCTCTTTTCCTTTATTAAATTTACTTTAGAACTATTTAAAAAGTAAATAAAACAAGTGATCTGGTTCATTGATTTTTTCTTCAAAATTACATTAATCCCTAAAAACATACATACTTTACATTACATATTATATTTTACATGCATACATATTATGTTTTATATGTTTATCTGTAAAATATTTGAATTCATATCATAAAATATCTTTAAATTATAGTCTTAAGTCAAAACTGAACTAATAAGAATAAAAGAGAGTAAGGAAAAAATAAAAAAGAAATTGAGGGCAAAATTTTTATTCTTCTGGTCACTCAAGTTGAAAATAAGGAATAAGAAATAAGAACTTATAGAATTAGAATTGATGTATGTATAAATATTTTTGTACATATAAGCAAAATATTGAAAATAAAAAATAAAAATTCAGTGAAGGATATTTTCATCCTTTATTTATTTTTGTTTATTTTTGATTTATTATGCACGCATAATATATTAAATGATTAGATTAAAAAAATTTAATATAAAAAAAAATTATTTACCTTATCACCCTGCTGTAAGCCACCTTTTTCAGCTGGTCCACCAGGAACAGTCCACACTATATAGGCAAATAAACGTCCATCAGCGCCAGTTTTTCCACCAACAACACGCATTCCAAAACCTCGAGCTGTAAAACAAAATAAATTTATAAAATAAGTAGATAGGTAAATTTTATTAAGAAATATTAATATCAGAATGGAATGGGTGAAATAAATATGAAAGATATTACAAGCAAAATATTGTATAACAAAAGTTTTAAAGGATAGTGTTTTATATTTATTTTTAAATTTAAAAAATGACATAAATATTTACTTCAAACTTTAAGACTTTGTTTCTGAATTCGTAATATTCATATACAGGGTGATTCTGAAAGGAATACAGCAACATATTCCATTGGTTAAAGCTTCGAAAATGGATAAAACATTTGTTCCGGACTAGGTACCAAGTCTCAAGGGTTTCCGAGTTCCAGGGATTTTAACGAATTTTCACGAAATTTTTACTTATCCAATTTTTTTTTATTATAACTTCCGTTCTGAAAAAGATGGGGACTTCAAACAAACAGTTTCTGAAAGGCCTAGTAAGGGGCTTAAAATAAACATGTCGTTAGATTCTGTATTTTATATATCTTCGGAATACAAAGCATTCGAACTTTAGGCAAAATCAAATTTTTCTCTTGTTTTATTTTTTCATGCTTTTTCTAACTAGATAATTTCGTAAGAAATGTTTAAAAACCTTAATGTTTTAAAACCTTGTGAGTCAAATTTAATTAAAATCAAACCAGATGTTGAAAAAAAATTTAATTAAAATCAAACCAGATGTTGATAAAACTAAAATTAAATTCAATTTAATATTTTAAATTATTTTAAAAAAACCTTTATCAAAAAATTTGGAAAAATACGAATTCCTTGTTCAAAAATTTTACAAATTTCTCAAAACAAACACCAAATTTTCCCACTGAATTCACCTTATTCGGAAAAAATTTTTGTTTTTCTTCTTTAAAATGTATTTTTTTTATTCAAGCGCATATTTCAAATTAATTGCTTTACTGGAATTCCTCTTTAGTTGCGTCAACCGTATACCAATTTTAGTTTTTGTAGAAATATGTCTAAAATATATTAATCCAATTAAATTTAATAATTATTTATTATCCTCATAATGAAAATACCACAAACTCCATTTTGTTCAAAAAAATTTAATTTTCCTATTAAAAAAAATTTTTTTCTATTAAAATAAATGTCAAAATTTGTATGGCATGCCTTTAAAAATTCGCTCCAGCTAGTTAATTTTAATAACTTCAGATGCCAAATGGTGTCCAGATTTCGAAAATATTTTTTTCAAATTTTTAAATTGCACCGAATGTGAGAAAAATGCATTTAAAAATTTCAAACCATATAGGTACCATTTCGTATAAAAATTGGCAAAAATAAAAAACCTATCAATTTTCTTTACCAAGAAAAGTTTCGAAAAAAATTTTTTGAATACTAGATTTTTTTTTTTTGTTTTTCATAGTAGAAAATTTTAGTTTTTCTTTTCAAAAATTTCAATTTTTTTAAAATCAATTTTTGTTTTTCAAATTAAAAATTTGTGTAAGATTTCGTTTCAATTTTTTTCTTATTTGTTACATTTCAATAAAAATATTAAAATTCAGATTTTTTATCAAAATAACGATTCTTAAAAATGTTAACTGTGTTTTTTCGAGTTACTCTTGTCATCGAAAATTAATGATAATTACAGTACTTAAAATCTGTAAAAATCAAAAATAGTGAAATAGTGAAAAATAAGATCTTTAAAATCTTCACTTAGAAATTGTTTTAGTGCAATATCTTCTGTACCATAAATTTTTTTTCAATGTTTGAGGACTTAAATTAAAGCTTAAGCAGCTGGGCAAAACTCTATAAGAAATTTCTCTGTTGCGAATTATTTAGTTAGAAAAAATTGAAAAAATAAAACAAGGGAAAAATTTGATTTTGCCTAAAGTTCGAATGCTTTGTATTCCAAAGCTACATAAAATACAGAATCAAACGACATGTTCATTTTAAGCCCTGCACTAGACCTTTCAGAAACTGTTTGTTTGAAGTCTCCATCTTTCTCGGAACGGATATTATATTAAAAAAAAACATGGATAAATAAAAATTTCGTCAAAATTCGTTAAAACCCCTGGAACTCGGAAACTCCTAAGATTTGGCACCTAGTCCGGAGCAAATGTTTTACCCATTTTAGATTTTTTTTTTATGGCTCTTAGTGTCTTATTGCATTGATATCGTTTTTATCGTATTTGGTCATTAGTAAACTCATGAATTCCGGAATTTAGTTTAAACATATATTTCTGAGTATAGCACTAGCTAAAACTGGTATTCATATTTTTTTAGTAAAATTTACTATAATAACGTTCTCGCAAGCTAAAACCTCCTAAAATTTACAAATAATAATTTTCAAAGGATTTTTTTTTTCTTTTCTGAAATTGTTAAATAATTTTTCATTGATTATAGCTGCAAATGTTTTTCTTCAACACTTTCTAAGTTTTAATATTTAATATTCAATCTAAATCGGAGACAATTAATTTGATCAACCGTTTTCTATCTGAGTTTTCATTAAAAATTATTAATTGTTTTAAAATATTTTCATAAATTTTTTTATAACCAATGTTGAATTAGCGTTCTTTTAATTAAATTAAAAGAAAAAAAGAGAGATCTTTTTTAATTCAAACTGTGAAATGCAAAAGATCTTTTGTCAAATCTCCAGCATAAAATTTTTTACTGCTTTTATATTCATGACTTTAATTAATAGAGAATTCAATTTTGTAAAGATTAAACAAATATTTTGACAGGACCTTTTGTTGGCAGCGGTATTCAAACGCGAATTCAATTTAAAGCAGTCCTTGCAACAAAAACTCTGATAGTTGAATTAATATTCTCTACTAAATGAGATTATGAATATAATCTCAGAAAAAAATTTAATGCTGGCGATTTAACAGAAGGTCATGTGCAGTTCTACCAACAAAAGCGGAATGCTTTTTGAAAGAAACTATAAGAACGTACTGCCATTGCATATCTTTGTTAGAACTGTAAATGCGAATTCAACCGAAATTGTAGAACTACTTAAATATTGTTGCTGCATTTGAATAATTCTATTAATAGGATGTTTTTTTATATTGTTGGCACTTTGTTAATAAATTCTATTATGATATTGCAGTGCTGTGTTAAAGTACTTAAATAGATTATCGGTAAAACTATAGCTTAATTTATCAATTTACATCTTAATGAAAATTATTTTACAAATTTCATTTTGTAACTAAGAATTTTTGTAAAAAATTTAAATTTTGCCTAAATATATGATTTCCTATTCTATATTTACATTTGTACGTATATTCCTATTTTATGTAAACAATACTTTTTTTCAAATAGAAAACTTTATTTATTTTACTTTTCTAATTATATTTTAATTTCATTTTGAGTTTTCATATTAAGCAATTTAAAAATAATATTTTCTATATGAACATGGGACACATTCCCATAATATCTTTTAATTAAAAATAATGTGCATAGAAAAAAAAATAGTTTTTCTGAGATTAAAAGGACAAAAGGACATTTTATGACATATTATGTAATTTTTTTTAAAATAGTTTTAAAGCAATTATGGTTAAAGAGTTTCAAAACAAAACTAAAATTCAATTTTTATTTGACAATTTAAAGATATTAAGTGACTAAAATTTTATTATAAGGATTAATGTACAAAGGTTTTTCAATTTAAATTTTAAATGTAAGAGGTGATGTTAAAAAAAAATCTAATACATGGTAATCAATGATAGTATAGCAAAAATTATGTAGGCAAACTTGATGTAGTGAACGTACGTTTTTTTAGAAATATTTGACTTTTTCATGTCTGAAAATACAGAGAATAATTTAATAGAATAGAGCATTAACTATACATATACGAGTATACCTGTCTCTTTTCAAATGAAGCTTTTAAAAGAAACTATGAATTTTCATGCATAAATTTACTATAGTTTAAGTTAAAAATGAATTTGTATGACCTACAGCTTTTTCAAAAATGTGGTATGGTTAAATCGAGTTGATCATATGGATCTGTTTTATTTATCAAGGTCAATGGAGTCAATCCTAATCCATTTCTTTTCTACCTTAATGAGATGTGCATAACATTATGATTTACATAAAAATTCATATATAAAATATATTTAATTTTCACTATTATTATGAAAACAAGATAGGAATGGAAGGTCCTGGCTAACTCTGGATTTAAAAGAGATAAAGTTTACCACATATAAAGCTTAAAACTGAATAATTATCATTGCATTTTATTCATTTTCCACATGCACTTCGTATAAGATTTGTAGAAAAACTTCATTTGTTTATGTCATCACCAATATTCTAAAAATATGAGTTTTCAAAATATTCGTTTTGTGATCATCCGTAAATTATTTATATCGGTGTATTGTATAAATTACAAACTTACTATATACACAAAATTTATTTGACTACGTTGTAGAATAGCAGCTGTATTAAAAACAAATTATAACCTCTAGTTTCCTGAGTCAAATTATTTTTATGTATAAATCATCGATTGCATACCATACCCAAAGTTTAATTATGCAGTAAAAATTTTTATACGGAAAACCTCAAAAATTTCATATTTCATTTCCACTTTAAACCAAATTGAAAAATTTTCATTTTCCAATTTTTTGTTTTTATTGTTTGTTTTTTTTTTGTTGTTTCTCTCATCATAAAAGTTAATATTTAAAGAAAATATAGTATTAAACCGCAAAATGTTAGAAACATATTATACAGAACATACATACAAAAGTTGTAATAATACACAGAATAACAAAAAGACATTAAAAAATTTTTAAATTTATTTGCTATAGTAAAAAATATTTTCTGTCCTCTCTTTTACCATTGTCATTAAATTTCAACAACATAGATTAAATGTAACGTAAATTTTCGAATAAGGACATAAGTGAGTAATAAAAAAATAAAAAAACAATTTTTTTATATTTCAAAATTTTGTGGTTTTCCTTGAAAAGTCTAGGACGAGAAAAAAAGAATTGCAAAAAAAATGTTATTTTTATATATAAACACTTTTAATTATATTTATGTATGTACCCGAACA